TGTGTGTAAATGCCCATTTCTATGCAGTTTATTATAGAGTATAAGAATGCAGGCACCCTGCATTGCAGAAAATGCACTTATTGCATTTATGAATGTTTAAAGTTGAGAAGAAAGAGAAAAAAGTAGATTTAAAATAGTTGAAGAGTGTATGATTAGAGTAAGGGGAATGTCACGACGAAAACTGGGAATTCCACTGAATAGATCAAAATAAGATTTGTTAAAGGGACTGTATGCGTAATTTCAAGTGACCCTCCATGTAAAGATGGTAATGACTAACAACGGTATCCTTGAAAGCTTTGTCTGATCAATGTTTTAGATATCAATATTTAAAATTCTGAAAATTATTATTTTCAAGTGTGTTTTCTCACAAAAGTGACGTTATACTTTTAAAAAATCTAGTAAAACGACTACATCTTCAACATTATTGATCAGTTAAAGGTTTCAATACTTTCAAGTTCATTCTTAATTATGAATCTCGCAATGGCATCTTTGCATGGAGAGTCGAAATCACTTATAATAACGTGTACAGTCTCTTTTAGATGGCAAAATTATGTTTTAAAATTGTTTGAACATTAAAACTTTTGAAAAAGTTAAATTTTAAGCAAAGCTTTCTAAACATCAAAGTTTTGTTTGACTTTTATGGGCTTGACAAAATCTTAGAAATTCCAAATTATCAAAAGTTATATCCTCTAAACGGCTTATTGTTTTTCAATATTGTTTACAGAAGCTGTTTTAAAATAGTTTGTTAATGAAGAAATGGTTTTCCTCCGAATCGAAACTTTGCATTATGTAATTCTATAAATAATAAATGTGGAACTAAATAATAAATGTGGAACTAACATCTACTTTTTTACTCTACAGAGGTTTGGTCCATCACCATCACCGAATTTTATATGTAATTTTAGCCCGTGGAATTTAAAAACATTTTAAAAAATTAGGAATATTAAACAAAAAATGTCGATTTTTTTAACCTATGTTACCACAGGGGTACCCATTGGGTCCTTAAAAAAGTTCAGCGAATTAGGTCCCGCCGTTTGGCCAGCTATAGCTAACAATGTATATATATATATATATATATATAGNGAACTTTGGAAGCTTAGGGAGCTTAAACCCTGAATCCTGAGGAGCATTATAACTTGGTTTTGGAGCATTGTAGGTTGGTTTTGGAGCATTGTAGGTTGGTTTTGGAGCATTGTAGGTTGGTTTTGGAGCCCCATAACTTGGTTTTGGAGCGCCATATCCTTGGTTGTCACTTTCCCCTTTTGGGAAAAAGAATGGAGAAGCGTGTATTGTTTGTAAACAAACAAGGGTTAACAGTAGAGGTGCAGTACGCCTCCACATTATTGATCTGGTCTGAAACAAGCAAAAAATGAGATTTATGATTAAAATTTTAACAATTTTAAAAATACATCATGTTATTTCTAAGCTCTCGAAATAAAATGAAAATCTCGAATTACATTTTAATTTTAAGAAACCAAACATTTATAGAGTGGCATAACCAACTTATTATGGAGTGGACACTCTTTTTTCTATCTTAAAATTGATTATCTTTAATTAAGGTTCTCTAGAAAGGTTACTTGCGATTTGGGAATTTATGCAGAAAGAGAAAAAGAAGCAAATTGTTCAAAATCAACATTTTTCCAGAATAGCGCAACATTCTCCTGTTTTTGTTGAGAAAATGATTTAAAGGCTACCATTGCGAATTTATTAATGAAGAGTCGCTTATAAAATTACTTTTATAGTCCCTTTAAGTCCCAGCTGACATTAAGCAAATCCAAATATAAATAATATGATTAAAAAATAAGTGTAGCTTTAAAAAAAATATTTTTACTTGTAGAATTTTATTTGTTTCGAATTAATGCTAATTATAAATCAAATAAGAATAAAATTGATTTAATCAGCTTCAATGTTTATTTGAATTATTATTATGCAAAAGTCTCTGAATTAATTTTTGTCATGCATAAATTTAAAAGCAAAAAATGTTTTACTTTAAACCCAAGTAATTTACAAGGCAATTTTATCACAAAATTAATATAGAATATTTTTGTTTTTAAAAGATTTCTCAAGATAATTTTGTGATCTCATAACATATTACTTCTTAATGGGTAATAAATCTTTAATGTATTTTGCATAATATGAAAAGTAGTAATTACTTTTTAACTACTTAAATAAAATTATAAATAATTAATAATTCTTCGATATGTAATAAAATATTTCATGAATGGGTTTTAATATAAAACAGAAAATCAAAAAATCCAAATTTTGATAATTTTTAAATATTAAAGAAAACATTACAATATCTTTGCTTGCGCGCGCTTCGAACCGTGGTTTCCTACACACTAGTTGGAAGATGAGACTTTGTACGTACGGAGTAGTGTGACGTCATTACGCGCTCAGGACACACCTTTTGTCACCCGACCCCCATCATCACCTCCTTTGTTATATTTAAAGATTATCGGTCGCTGTAGAAAATAATATGAATTGCTATATTGCACAATGTAAGCTGTAATCTTAAATGCCATATCATGTACAATGTGTACAGTGTAAAACAAGTACAACTCATTACTCTATGTACAGACGACGTATACGTTGTAATCATCCTCGAACGCTAAAGGTTAAAATCTTCAACCAATTAATTGGTCATACATGACCTTATGTCCGACCACATAATATGTATGTATACAACCCCCCCCACACACACACACGTGAGACTAATATATCATAAATTGCCCAAAGAAAACCAAACCCATCCTAAAACCCAAACCCATGTTTAATTGTTGTTGTCGAGAATCTTCGCCAAATTGTTTGAAATAAATCATAAATTTTAATATTCAAAAGTTACCTGAAGCAGTATGTGCGGAAATGAAGAATAGTGTTGCTATCTCATCTTTATCTTGAGGCGTGGGATCTTTGGTTTCAGTGTTGCAACCATTCAACCAACACAATCTAGGTCTTCAGATCTTGCCAGATTTTGGCGCGCTTTTTAAACATTGTTTTGCAGATTTTTTCATCGTGTTTCGTGGTTTTTTTCTATTGTTTTTAATTTGGAGATATTTCACAGTGTAATGTTTTTATAGACTACTGGTTTACGACTAGATTAAGTTTATGTTTTCATTTTCGTCATATTCATTCATTTATTCAGATACTAAACTAAAGTTGATCACTATAGAGAGGGGGGGTCATAGGATGGTTTACTTGGTGCTCCATAGGATTGTGTTGGAGCTCCATAAGAAGGTTTAGGGGCTCCATAGGAAGGTTTGGGAGCTCCATAAGAGGGTTTGGGGGCTCCGTAGGAGGGTGATGAGTTTCCTTTGCCAAATCCTGAGAAAAGTCCGCTGATTGCATTAACTTTTGAACTGACGATCCCAGATCCGAAGGCGATCTTGTCAGCGATCAATTTTCCTATGTCAGGGAATTTCAAGCCAGGAGCCTGGGGAGCGTTGTAACTCGGTTTCTGTGGAGCATTGTAGCTTGGAGGAGAGGCAGAGGGAAGCTTGGGAAGTTTAGGGAGGGAGAACTTAGGAAGTTTGGGTAGAGAGAGTTTGGGAAGTTTGGGAAGTGAAGGCATGTTGATCGTTGGCATTTTAAACGTTGGGAGGGAGAATTTTGGGAGAGAAACCTTGGGTAGCTCAAATTTTGGGAGTTTGGGTAGGGAGGGGGCTTGAGGTGCGTTATAGCTCGGGCGAGAGGGACTTGGGAATTTCGGGAGACTAGGAAGCTTGAAGTCAGGCTTAGGGATTTTTGGCAGTTTGGGAAGAGAGAATTTTGGGAGATCAAAATTCATATTTGGAAGTTCAAACTTTGGGAACTTTGGAAGCTTAGGGAGCTTAAACCCTGAATCCTGAGGAGCATTATAACTTGGTTTTGGAGCATTGTAGGTTGGTTTTGGAGCATTGTAGGTTGGTTTTGGAGCATTGTAGGTTGGTTTTGGAGCCCCATAACTTGGTTTTGGAGCGCCATATCCTTGGTTGTCACTTTCCCCTTTTGGGAAAAAGAATGGAGAAGCGTGTATTGTTTGTAAACAAACAAGGGTTAACAGTAGAGGTGCAGTACGCCTCCACATTATTGATCTGGTCTGAAACAAGCAAAAAATGAGATTTATGATTAAAATTTTAACAATTTTAAAAATACATCATGTTATTTCTAAGCTCTCGAAATAAAATGAAAATCTCGGATTACATTTTAATTTTAAGAAACCAAACATTTATAGAGTGGCATGTCCAACTTATTATGGAGTGGACACTCTTTTTTCTATCTTAAAATTGATTATCTTTAATTAAGGTTCTCTAGAAAGGTNCCCCTTTATTTCTCTTTCCCCCCCTTACCCTCCCCCTCCTTACTCCTTACTACATTTTCCTTGCATTCATTATATATGATTCATCTTTAAATCTCTATAACTGCGTTTATGAATTCTAAAAAGTATATGCGCGCACATTCCTCTCTCCTTATATGTTGTATATATGTGCTCCAACTCCGCATTCCTTGGACCCAGCGCAAAAAAATGCGTAAAGATTAAATGACGCAAATTACAGCAGGATGTATGTTGTTGAACCGACGCATTTACTCCGTGTATTCTAAAGTTTTACTCACACTTTTTACTTATACTTTTTATTTGACTCATTTTCTGATATAGGAAAAAGCTTTTCTGTAAAAACTTAACTGAACTAATATCAAAATAATCAAAATTCAGTAATCCATCAGAGTGTTTTTTTTTCATCAATACTAATAATATTTGTTTGTTTATTATCTTATAATATCTCTCAGCACAGCTGAACCAATTGGCCAATTTTTTTAGTGCAATTCTTAAATGACCTGATGTAGCAAATATAGAGCCCATAGTAACTTATAGTTGTACATTGTCCATATAGATAAATGTGTCCATTAGTAAATATGTAAAACATGTATTGCGATTAATCCATTCAGTATGTATATATATATATATATATATATATATATATATATATACATATATTTATAAGCGAAGAGCTTTGTTATATATAAAGATTATCGGTCGCTGTAGAAAATAATATGAATTGCTATATTGCACAATGTAAGCTGTAATCTTAAATGCCATATCATGTACAATGTGTACAAGATAGTAAATAGCTTGTTTGATAGCTAGGCTTGTGTCCCTGTGTGGCATTTAGAGCACAATTAACAGCTTGTTTGATATCTAGGCTTGTGTCCCTGTAAGGCATTTAGAGAAACATTAATTGCTTGTTTGATAGTTATGCTTGTGTCCCTCTGTGACATTTAGAGCTCAATAGATAGCTTGTTTAATAGCTACTGAAAGTGCGCCCAATGGTATTGGTGTTGATAGTTCACAGAATTATTACTGTGTGGATTATGTCCTGCTTAAAGACGGGATGTTTCTAGATATATAGATATGTTTTGAGGACTTGTCATGGAGTAGGTGTTCACTACATAAGTGGTAGCAGCAGCATGAATTAAGGAACCCTGATTAAGTGAGTAACTGGTTTAAAAGGGTACTAATTGGGAAACAAGACTTGGAGATATATATCTTTGAAGACGAGACAGCAACCGCAACACTGGATACTGTGGAATCATAATAACCCAGGTTACCTAGTGAGGACATTTTAGAAATAGAAATGAACATGACCCAAGCTGGAGGAGAGGGAAACCCCCCAACCCCAGAGTTACAGTTCATAATGAAGAGATTACAGTAAATGGAGCAAGATAAACAAGCTTTTGAGGAACAAATTTGAGTGATGCAGAAAGACTTAGAAGAGGTAGAGACAAAGAAAGAACAGGAATGGTGTTTGCAGAAATGGGAAAACAATGCAATACCAGAGGGTTAGGATCCTATTGCCAGAGCAACAGCAATGCTAGAGAAATCCAAGCTCATAGATGCAAATTAGAAAAGTAAGGATTAACTAGATGTAAAGGTCATAAGTGGAGAAACAAATTAGGTCACCTATGAGAAACTAGGTAAATGTGAAACTGATCTTAAAAAAAGAATCCTAGCTTTTATTGAAAAGGCTTCTCAACATGCCAGAAATCTAAAAGAAGTGTTTACCTGGTTGGAAAATCATTTGTCTAATCATGAGTGGCAAACAATCCCAAACAAGGGAATTTTTAACTTTGATAATTTATTTAGTAAATTTTACAATATTTTTTAATTTCAATATGATATCAGATGGAAACATTTTGAGACTTCTATATTTCTTTTTTTTCATTCTTTCTTCTTGATCGTCCATTCCTTGTTCATCCATGAATTTTTTGGATGTTTTCTGCAGCTAGCCAAATTGCGTAGGCAGAAATATTTTTTGAAGCCCTGTATCTATATTCTATATTCTGTTAGTGGCAAGGTTACTCTCTCCCTTGTTTGTTATTAAATTGTGCTTCAGCCATATTACTGTGTCAGCTCCTGCGTTCCTAGCTAAAACACACTTTCAATAAAATTTTGTTGATTAGGGGAGAGGGTTGAGTGGGGCGTTTTACACATTTTCCAGTTTTTATCTCGAGTAGGACATAGAGGGGGGATGGGACGCCTACCATCCTGTGTATTCGTCTTTATTTGCTAATTGTGAAAAAAATGAATAGTGTAAAGCTCAAATCCCCTTCAAATTCCTGTTCTTCTTCTTTTTTCTTGTTTATCTTGCTTTAAGCACCCATATCTACTGTCAAGAGATTTCCCTTCCACTTTTTTCTGTTCAATTTATTTTTCTCCTTGCTTCTTGTTTCTTGTTTTTACACTTTAAGGCCTTTCCAAATAGTTCTTTTGCCATCCAGTTGTGGAGCAGGTAGAAGAGAGATAAGGAGGTTTGTAGGTAGATGATTATAGGGGATTTCTCCCTGTGTTCCTTCATTTTATACTGTTTCTCAGTTAGGGCAATTAAGGAATTTACCCATAAATGATCCCCTTATGCAAAATGGGGGAGTTGGGATCCCTTAATGCTCTATTGAGAGGTATCTTCCATGGTAGTCCAGTCCTCACATCTGGTTGAGTAAAAAACCAGTATCATTGTGCATGGCTTGTATTCCCATGAGGGGTTAAACTCCTCTTTCAGTGCACCAAGCTGAAGATGAAATTTTGTTTTAATATATGCTTCCATCTTTCCCTGTAGGACACAAGATACATAACTAAACTCAGCGCTTCTCCAGCAGTAATTCTCAGACTACATAGTAGGTCCATTCTGCATGAGAGAAAGAAGGCAACTGCCAAACAAGGGAATAAAGAAAATGTTGTTGGTGTGCATCACAGGAAGGGCTAGACAAGAGATAGTACTGTTGCAGCCTACAGGAAAGGGATTACCATTTGATACATATAGAATGGGAAGGTTCTTTAATGAATTATTTAAGAAATTTTCCGATGAAAAAGAGGAAGAAGGCAGGAAACTGGAATACAACAGCAGAAGACTGTCATGAATAGAATATCCCAGGAGATATTTTACTGACAAAGCTAAGGCTAGACCCAAGTAACAAAAGTGAGGAATTTCCCCAGATTCTCCAACCGTGGTGACTTTCTTTAAGGAATTTCCGAGGAATTTCTTGAAAATCATTTCCTGTAACTGATTCCTTGGAAATTCTCAAGAAATTCCCTAGAATTGGTCCCCAAGATGAGAGATGTTTGTGGGATCACAGTTTATGAGGAACTCTTGAGAAACTTCTTGGGAATAGTTCCCAGGAAATTCCCAGGAATTGGTTCTGAAGACCTTTTCGCTAGAAATTCCCAAGAATTTCCACAAATTTTCTCTGGTTTTTCTGAAGAATTGGAAAACAAGAAATTTTCCGCAAAATTGTTACTTGGGGAGATACAACCTTATCAGAATTCAAGATTTCAATGATTTTAGGGTTTTACCATGTGGAACTTCTGAAAGCCTGTTTACAGTTATGAACAAGGTACTGCAAAATGAGAGCGAAATTAAGGAAGTACAGGATCATCAGCTTTGCAACATGATATTGTTGCTTTAACAAGTTCATTTAATTATGATACAGAGGAAAGAAACATGAAGACAAACTAAATGTGGAGAACAAGGCAAGTTCCTATGGAGATATATGCAATGCTAGCTGCTACTTCTGGGATTGTTTGCAGAATGGAATAAGAATACCACAATCAAGAAGAGTTAAAGACAGAACGGAAATAACAACCACGGAAGTAATAGCAAACACAGAAGTAAAAACAAGAAACCTGGGATATACAGTAATACAGTAATCAGAAGCAATACCAGAACCAAAAGTAATACAGGAATCAGAAGTAATACCGGAACCGGAAGTAATGGAGAGGATACTGTGATCATGAGAGAAAGTATTCATTGTTGCAGGATATGCAAAACTAGTGAATGTCAGAGTAGTGGGAAATTGGAGGGAAGATGGTTTTGTAGAATCCATGCTACCAGAAGAAAACCAGTGCTTCCAGAAACCATCTATCATTTGACAGACAAGGAATCAGTCATCTTTGTGAAGAACCACACCAAAGAGGAAGTAGAAAGAATTGAAGGATGCTTATCCCCTACATAAGTATGCCATTTGGCTTGTCCAATGCAGGCAGTGTGTATTCCCAGAGGCAGGATCTGACCATGGCTCACTTAGCTGCTGAGTTCTGGTTGAGTTACCTGAATGACATTCTGGTGTATTAAACAGATCCGTGCAGGGGACACCTTGAGCATCTTAGAAAGGTAGTACAAGCTCATACTCCAGCAGGAACAAGATATAGCCAAAGAAGACCAAGATAAGTATAGTATCTAGGACTTAAAGTTAGAATGAATGGAGTACAGATATTAGAGGATTATATCAAGAACACAAAGAAATGGCCATGAGAAACTAGCTACAAAAAAATTGTCCTCAAATCCTCGGATTCACAGGATATTAAAGGAGTTTTATTCCAAGTTACTCAGCTTTGACAAACGGCATGACTGCTATGAAGCAGGCATTGAAATTTGAGTGGTCAGAAGACATGGAGAAGGATTTAAAGGAGTTAAAAGCAGAGTTCACATCAGGAAAGATCCAGGCATATCCAGACATTTGACTCCATGGTTCATGGATTTCTAAGTGATCCATCACATTCTGAAGTATTGGAAACAGATTAGATGAGAGAAGTTCCTAATCTT